GCGGAATCCTGACAGGAGCCGATCCCTGCTTTGGGAAGAAAAGAAAAGAAAGAGAAGATTACCTGTCCTTCTCGCCACGCGTTGGGCGCCACCTGCCGCAGACTGGCTCGGTCGGGAACCACCAGGCTGAGGGACGTGGGAGAAGGTTTACAGGAAAGCAGGAGATTCGGCGATGACAGACAGACACCAACACAAGTGAGGTTGAGTGCTGCTGCGATTTTACTGAGCACAGAGTTCCTTTTTTATACAGTCAAGGCAAAATCATAGAACAAAGGGCCAGAATACAATCGGACATTACATCATATCGTGGTCACTTATTGGTGACATATTCCAAAAAATATCGAGGGACAAAAACACTTTCTTAATACACTTCCTGCTTCAAATTAGGACAAAACATTTACCTATGAATTCTTTACAGTGATTACACAGGATTTAATGTCTAACCATGGTTCCCCTTTCTACAGAGTTCTTTATCATTGTTTTTCTTCAGCAACTTATGTTTTCATCTGACAGGGTCTTAACCACACATCACAATCCAGGAAGGGTCTCGGACCTTCCCATATATTGGTTTGCAACACTTTGTTTTTCTGTTAATAAACTCCAGGATGTATGTACTTAGACCAGTTTTTGTATGGGGGGATAGAGGTTTCACAATGTCCCTCATTCTCTCATATGGTAGCTTATTGTTTTCTTTTATGTTAGGCACCCTTGCTTGAAATTGAGGGCTGTACTGTATGCTAAGGATCTAATTGTTTCAGCCACAATATTTGGCGGTTTTTCTGGCTCCTGTTATTGTTTGGTTTCACTATGACTCCTGACCTTTGTCGAACCTAACATCTCCTTAGTTTCCTACAGATTTCACAATGATTAAAAGCAAACTATAACTACAAAGCTTCTACCTATTAATTCTAAATACCTAACTTATAAGTAAAATTGGCAGGCAACCATTATAAACTCCATCCGGGATGCAGAAGAGCCACATACCAAAGTGCCACAGAAGCACACAAAGCAGGATAAGAAAAAGGGGGCGCCGGAGGCATAGACCCAAAGGTCGCGAACCTCCCTTTCCCGCGGGACCTGGGCCAGGCCCAGGTCACCTTAGCTGGTTGCTACGCGGGCGACACCGTTGACGGCGTGGCATTCCACCACCACAGGTCCCAGTATCCCTCCCCCCCTCCCCCCCTTCCCCCATCCCACCCTGCTGTGGCGGGGCATTCCCTTTTGTTCTTTTTCTCTCCTTTTGGGTTCTGTGGTCTTCAAGAGTGGCATTGAGTGGCAATCATGTTCGGTCTATAGCCTACTTTCAGCATGACAATAGATCGAATCATTGTGCCAGCCCCACTTGACAACTTTCAGTAATTTAATTCCCCTTTAGGTCTTAAATGTGCCCAATACCCAAAAAACGGTGATTCCTCCACACTGTGGATCTCTTTTCCTCCCCCCCACCCCCCCACCCCCCCCAGCCACTAACCTTAAGCAGAGAAGTAAAGCCCAGCCCCGAATTCCAATTACCAAGCTTCCTGCTCATGTGACCTTGGGCAAATCACTTACCTTTCTAATCCATCGCCTTTCCTGGGCTGGAGAGAGAGCACAGAAATCCAGACACTTGCTTTGCATCCAGCAGACACTGCTTCAAATCCTCAGCCCCACATATGGTCCTGGAGCACTGCCAGGAATAGACCCTGAGCTCTTCCAGACCTGGTCCAAACAACCTCATCACCAACACCTTTTTTTTTTTTAAGTAGCTTCTTTTCTAGTCCCCTTGAAGACATTAAATCAAGGGCTTACCTGAATTGCCTATACTGTGGTAGCTTTCCTGCCTCTTCTCCTTTCTCTTCACTTTGGGGCACAACCAGAGGTGCTCAGGATTTAGCCCCCGCTTTGCTCAGGGGGTCACTCCTGGCAGAGAGAGCTGTGGTGGGAAAAGGTATCACCAGGGATCTTTCGGATCCATGAAAGGGAAGTTAAGGCACTGCTGTCTCTCATTCCCCAGCTTTTCTTCTTTTCTATAACATCCTTCAGCCCAAGGGCGCTCATAATTCCCTTAGCACAAATACAGCGTCCATTTCCTGCCTCTTCTATTTGCATTGTGATTCTAGGGTGATGCCACCTCTCATCCGAGGGGGCTTTGGGTTCTCGTCCTTAGACTGGGAGCCATCAGCTTGGTCGAGGGATTGCAAACTTAGCTGGGTTCAAAAAAACCCAGCTGCGACCCTAATCTCAGGGTGTCGTTATTTAACGGGGAGGGGTCGCAATACCCCCGACCACGGGAGCGCCTAAGCGTTAAACTCGTGCCCACGTGTAAAGAACATTTGCGGGGCATCAGGGAAGTCCTGGGTGGGTTGTGAGTAGTCTGGGGGTTGGAGAATGGGACACTCGGGTTAAAACTGTCCCTGCAGTCGCAGCCGCTAGCTCGGGAGCGCGGAGGGGAGGGAGCGGGGAAGCCCGGGAGGGTGCGGAGGGAGCCCGGGGTGGGGGGCGCGGCTTCCTGTCCCGGCGCCCGGCTGCGCAGGTGGAGACGGGGCGGGGCTCAGGCAGGGGTGCGGCCGCGCTCCGGCTGGTACCCGGCACTGCACCTCCCGGCGAGCTCGCTGCTGGCTGACTGCAAGGTGAGTGCTCCCTGCTCGCCCCGCGCCCCGTTCGCTGCTTTCCCATCACCTCGCGGGTTCAGGGCTGCGGGGGTCTCGGCGTGCGGATGGAAGCCCCCCCCACTTCAGAACCCACTGAGGCTCGGGAGGGCAAAGTGCTGTTCCCCGGAAGGGGCGTCCGGGACCCCCTCGTTGCTGCTCGGTGTTAGTCCTGGAGGAATCCAATGGGCTCTTCCAGCCTCCGCAAGCCCAAAGGTTTGGGGGACAGAAAAAGTGCTCGGGAGGCCTGGGAAGGTAGTACAGCGAGTAGGGCGCTTGCTTCGGGGACAAGCGGGGTCAATCCCCAGCCCCTCCAGGATGATCCCTGCGCACGGAGGAAGGAGTTAGCCCTGAGCGCTGCCGGTTGTGGCTAGAGGAAAGGAAAGAAAGAAAGAGAGAAGAGAGAGAGAGAGAGAGAGAGAGAGAGAGAGAGAGAGAGAGAGAGAGAGAGAGAAAGAAAGAAAGAAAGAAAGAAAGAAAGAAAAAGAAAGAAAGAAAGAAAGAAAGAAAGAAAGAAGAGAAAGGAAAAAGAAGTACAGGAACTAGGGAAGCGATGGTCCCCAGGTCCCCCTCTGGTCCCCCCCCCACCCATCCCTTTCAATGCTTTCTCGTTGTCTAGATAAATTACTGTGTTTCACTTAGGGATTTTAGGCAGTGGGAGGAAAAGTGCACTTAGATCTTGGGCCCTGAGAGTCGAGAAGTTGGGAGTCCAGGATGTTGGCTTCCTTGAAAAACGTCACCGTTTCCTTTCATGGCAAGAGAATTCAATTCACCTCCCATGAATCATTTTTCCTGGCGTTTGAGTCAGCAGGTGCAGGATCTGAGTGCTTGATTGCAAAAGACCTGGGGTAGGGAACCCGGTCCCGTTGGGCCTCTGGTCGCTGCTAACGGGTCTCACCTCTAGTGCTTTCCAAGTATTGTGTTCTGCACAGACAGCCAGACTCTGCCTTTTTATAACTTAACAACCACACACACACACACACACACACACACAGCAGGGACAGAAGCGATAGTGTAGTGGTACAGTGGATAAAATTATAGCCTTACAGGAGGCTCACCCTGGTTCCATCCCCGACACCACCTTTGGTCCCCCGGGGACCCAGCAGGAGTGATCCCAGCGCACAGAGCCAGGAATGAGCCCTGAGCACAGCTGGGTATGGCTCCCAAACAAAAAACATTCTCATAAAATAAAATGTAATTCAAAAGATGTTGTTCTTCAAACCTACTGTTATTGGATTCCATAAGACAGAAAAAGTCACGCGGATGATAAAGGGAACTTAAAGATGCAAAGAAAACCAGAAACTTGTTCCCCAAAATGTTTGTGGTTAGAGGTGGAGGTGGAGAAGGAAGTAAGGAAAGTGATGTCGAAACGTATTTCTTTCTGAAAAGTTCTATTGCCAGGTGGTTTGGCTTGCACTGTGGGTGTTTCTTTGCTTCTTGAAACTCACCTACACTAGTTCTTGTTAATAATTTACTGATTAGACATCTTGCATCTCAGATTGCCCACGCTTGGAGTCGGGCACTTGGGAAGAAGGCAGAGACCAGTCAAACCTTTGAGTGTAGTTGCTGGACCCAGCAGGGGTGATCACTTCGCCTTGAGGTTGCACTACCCTCTGTGCCAACACATCCTCATCCACAGAGGTGATGCTCCTTTGTTTGTTTTTGGGTTTCACCTGAAGGACCATATGGGATGCCAGTAATAGAACCTGGGACTTCAGTGTGCAAGGCACTTCCTGCTATCCTATAGGTCCGCCCCCTGCAGAGGTACCCCTCTTAATGAGACCTACTCCCCAGGTGATTGAGAGGCTTAGAGCACATCATTCTTTCAGCCAGTCAGAATTGGTTTTAGGACCTTCTTATCCCAGGGAACCAGTGTGACAAAAACCTCTTGCTGTGTGGAATTGACCTTTTGGTGTGTGTAGTTTCTTTGTTCACTAGTTTTATCAAAAAGGGCTTATCCCAAGTGGGGGTTGGGAGTGGGGAGTGTGGCTTGGGCCACTCAGAGTGGGGTCCTGATTTTTCTAGGCCATTGGTACTTGGGATCCCGCAGGGCCCTGCCAGGTATTACTGGGGGGCAATGCAGGATTTGATGCTTGCTGTCTCTTCTGCTGTCTTGCCCAAACTCTTTCTATGACTTGAAACAGTGAAGATGCACAAGGCTAGCTGATTTTACTGCCTAACCCTTCCCCAGTTCCAGTGAGTACTTGTTTCCACTAAGGGAGAGAAATCTGAAGGGAGCTTTTGCTTTTATGACAGAGGTGAGGAAGCAAACCAGTGTTGAGCATTTGTTTTGCAGCAGCGGTGCTGGAGATCGCTTACAGTGAGCCGGGACAGCGCCACCAGCGGGCTCCACCCCCAGGAATTCCCTATACAGGCTGTGCGCTTATCATGCCCTTCCTGCTTTTACTCTATGTGAGTGAGATCTCACCTCAGTGCGTTATTTGATATCTTGTTTCAGGAGGCTAGGAACAGCTCCCCCACCCCAATGAAAATCCTCTCTTTGCTTTAAAAATGTTTTTCTAGAATCACTGGTATGATAGCGGGGAGGGAACCTGAACATATTCTCTCATTCAGTGTCCTTGCCAGCCCTCTTTCCCTTTTCAGATGAGGAAACTGAGGCTCAAAGAAACCGTGCCTAGTTTTAAGAGGCAAAACCAGAAATGACAATAGTTTGTGTGCACATAGAAGCATCTAGACATTATAAAAATTATAGTACCAAATAACTTAGACCTAAGCAGTAGCAACTTAGTTCTCTGTTTAGAGGCTGAGAAAATCAGAGCAAATATTTTCAGGGACCCACTGTGTAATTTCCTGTTGAAATTTACTCTAGGACTACCATTGAATTTCTGAAGAACATTTGTTCCCAGGATGGGTGGGAGCAAAACTCAATCCTGGAGAAGCACCAGCATGCTTGAATGATCTCTATTTTTAGCGTGCCTGGCTTGCTGATTGTCCTGTCCAAGAAGTGCCCTTTTTACCTCTGAGATCTGCCCACCAAGGACTGGGTCATTTCCTCAAAGAGCAGATGGTCTGTTCATAATAGGCATGGAATCTTATAACGTGTGAATAAGAGACTTCACAATCAAACAGAAAGGATCAAATTGAATGCAGCTGAGGAAATACAATTTCTGATGTCTTTATTGTTATTCCCCATGGTGGTAGTCTCTCTGGTTAAAAGAAGCCAGCAGGGGCTGGAGCAGTTGCACAGCCGGTAGGGTGTTTGCCTTGCATGTGGCTGACCTGGATTCGATTCCCAGCATCCCATATGGTCCCTTGAGCACTGCCAGGAGTAATTCTTGAGTGCATGGCTGAGTAACCCCTGTGCATCACTGGGTGTTGTGACCCCCCCCCAAAAAAAACAAAACTAAACAAAACCAAAAAAAAAAAAGCCGGCAATCAGCAGATTCAACTGGATTTTAAGTGAGTTAAAAATTAGTTTTCCAACAGTTATTTTGTAACCCCCTTAAGTGAAAGCATTTTTTCCTCTTTTATTTTGAGCCCCTCACAGGTATAGTTCAGCCCCTGTTTGCTGTAGATGCTCAGTAAATGCTTATTAAATGAGGTACTTGATGTGAGAGATATATCCTCTTCCTGAGATGGTTTTTCTTTAATATTAACTTGTGTTTTCTGGAGTAAGCATTAGCAAGCATTAGTCTGAATTTTTTTTCTGAAACAAAATTATACCAAGAGTAAAAATTTGTCTGAGTTTTTTTTTCTGAGTCACAGAATTACACCACTTAATATATATTTTTCTTTTACTAGGCTAGTGAGATCTCAAAGTGGGATACCATGGCATCTATCTGGGTAAGTGAAAACAAAGCTATCACGATAGAGAAACTCAACCAACCAAATCAAAATACAAAAAAAAATCAAAATACCAAGTTCACGAAAAAGTATATATGAAAAAATATATATATGCCAACAAAGTAGAGTATATATCTGAAAAGAATAAAACATTAAAGGGTGGAAAAGCTCCTAGTACTCTGTGATGACACAACAGCTTTATTTTGAGCCCCTTGCTTGCTCACCAGCCAGGACCCTTCTGCTCCTGTGTTCAGAGTTTTTCCAGGCTCTCATTGCACAATGATGTGACCAATGCCATACCCAACCATGGAGCCAAACTCCATCTTTAGTTATTCCCCACAAGGCTCAACCCTCTCATCACATGGTTGGTCTGTCTGGGTAATCACACCTGAGTCTGGGGCCCACAGCAAGCTACCTTGTTAGCCTTATTGTGCTTTATGGTTCATGAAATTCCAGGAGAAAGACGAGACATTAGACATATATATTATATATATATATAAAATGTATATATATATATATATCTTATATTTAGGGGTTTCCTCAGTGCTGAGAACCCAGAGGCCACACTCAGCAACACTCAGCTGGTGAGGCAGCCTAATGTTTCTGAGGCCACTGGCCATACATGGAGGTTCTGGGGTTGAGGGGATGTGCGGTGCTGGAAATCAAAGTTGGAGGTCTCATGCATAGAAGTCACACCCTCCACCCCTGTTAGTCCTCTGATGCCTTCTGTGATATAACCACTCACATCAAGGCTGCATGGTTTCCGAAACATCAGATTCTGTGAATTTTCACTAAAATGCTAAGAGGATGACATTGGCCGTGCTCATCACAGACTCACAGCAGAAGCTCTGATGGGAAGAAACACCTTCAATAATAAGCAATACTGGGAAAAATGAATCTATGTTTTTGTGTTAATCTCAATGTCTGGTAGAATCCCTCAAAGCATGGGTTCCATGGAGAAGATAACATGAAAGAGTGCTTTTTTTTGGTGGGGGGAGGGAACACCTAGTATGCTCAAGGCTCTGGGTGTAGGGTTCTCTCCTAATGGTGATGGGATCATATGCAGTGCTGGGTATTGAATCAAAGTCAGCTGCTTACAAGACAAGTGCCTTCCCCCATCTTCCTGAAGGGAATTCTTTTTCTTTATTTTTTACTTTATGGATTGTGTGAGTGTGAGTGTGTGTGTGTGGGGGGGGGCATACTTCTAGCTCTGCTTTCTGGGATTACTCCTGGTGGGGCTCGAGGGATTATATGAGGTACCAGGAATCAAACCTGGGTCGACCACATGTAAGATAAATGCCCGACAGGCTGTACTTTCACTTTGACCCCTGAAAGGAATTTTTTAAATTTAATTTTTATTAGTGAAGCACCGTGAGGTACAGTTGTAGACTTACAAACTTTCGTGCTTGGGTTTCAGTTATACAGTGAACGAGTACCCATCTCCACCACCAATGATCCCAGTAGCCCTCCCACCCCAATCCCCTCCACGCCCCACCTCTGTGGCAGGGCATTCCCTTTTGCTTTCTCTTTCCTTTAGGGTGTTGTGGTTTGCAATAGAGGTATTGAGTGGCCATCATGTTCGGTCTATAGTCTACTTTCAGCACACATCTCCCATTCTGAGTGGGTCCTCCAAACACCCTTTACTTGGTGCTCCCTTCTCTATCTGAGCTGCCTTTCTCCCAGCAGCACATGAAAGGAATTCTTGACAAAAGAAAAGTTGGAGTGGGCTTATCTAGGGTGGAAACTTGCTAACAGGGAAGAGTGAGCTGTGGTGTACTTTCCTGGTGAGAACTAGAGTGGAACTTCCCTTCCCTTCCCTGCCTAGCCCTTCCTCCTTCCTTAGGAGCAAGAGTAGTGTGGTTTGTTATATGGGAGTCGAGCAGGTCTATTCCTGCTGTATAACCAGAGAGAAGACACCAGTTGGTAGTACTCTTGGAAACAATGCCACATGCTAAATGAGATAATTCCAAGAACATGAAATCTTTCAAATTCTGACCCATGGGTGGTCCCAGCCCTAGGCACTCACTCGAATGTCCTGGGTCCTGGGTCTGAGAGTTTCTGAGAGCTCTGTTCACTTTCTGGCTCTGGTGGGGTCAGCCATTAGGCCTTTCTTTCATGTACAGATATTTGTTCTTCCTAACGACACAGATATACTTTCATCACACCTACAGCGGGTAAGAGGTTTGCCATGCATGCGGCCAAACCCGGGTTCGATTCCTTCTCCCCTCTCAGAGAGCCTGGCAAGCTACTGAGAGTATCCCACCCACACAACAGAGCCTGGCAAGCTCCCCATGGCGTATTCAGTATGCCAAAACCAGTAACAACAAGTCTCGCAATGGAGACGTTCTGGTGCCCACTAGAGCAAATAGACGAACAATGAGAGGATGGTGCTATCATGTCCACTCTAGCTTCCTACTATTTTCTGCATCCCTGCACTAGGAGATGCCTGTCTGAGATCTTTGGTCATTAAGATGAACTTTTAACATCCTAAATCTAGTTAGGTACTCTTGCATAGCCTTGTACTCTTCAACATGTTTATACCTTTCCTTGTGCTATATTTTCAACCATGCCTAGTCACGTACTATTCATGATTATACCTTTCCGTCTGCTGTTGTCAGCCGAGTTCCCTGAAACTTCTTTTGGTAAATATTGGCACTTATACATATAAATGCCCCTCTTCAGGAAGTTAATAGAAAACAGATTCGACCTGGATTTCAAATCAAAACATTTGGCTTTTGTTTCAAAACATAGACAGGGAAGAAATACTGTATAATCTGAGTGAAAAGACAGAAGTTTCCTGAGAATGGCTGGAATGAACATTCAAGATGTTTTTCATCCTGCCTGACTCAGAGTCAACTAAGAAGGGACATATACTCACTCTTTCATGTTTAATCATAAGTTCAATTATAAGTGCAACTTGCCAAATAAATCTGGTAAACCAGAGACAAAGAGGAAAGAAGTTTTAGATCCAGAACAAGGAATATAAAGGAGAAAGGGTATGATTTGATATTTTTGAGAGTCTACTATTTAGCAAATAGGAAGCAATTAAGGAAAAAATGAATTTTAGAGTACTGCAGTGCAATAGTAATAGAGATTTCATGTGATTTAAAGAGGATAAGTCAAAAGAACAGAAAATCCACACGATTACCCCTTCCTCCCTCATCAGATCCTTGCTCTTTTCTTTTTCTATTTGTGTTTAAATGCCTCACCCAGTCTGGAGGCATATTTACCAGAGAGGTGGAAGCTCCTCCTGTATGAACAAGATTTACAGAGGGTGAAGAATGCATTTGTAAAATTTTTGAGATGTGGTGTCAAGCTCTGAGAAGGCTGGCCGTGACACTTGAGAATTATCAAAAAAAAAAAAAAAACGCATGACCCAGGACAAAAAACGCATTTTGTATTCAATTATTCACTCTACAAACATTTGTGAACCCTCCGTGTGGTACCAGGTACTGTTTTAGGCATTCTGGGACACAGCAGAGAAAAAGAAACTAAAAGACATGAATTTGCATGCCTCTGATTTTATTTTGGGAGGACACCTTAAAGAAAAAGAAAGAAATGTAATGTCCGAAGTGAGTTTAAGTGCTCCCAAGAAAAGTGGAAGGGGAAAATGATAGTGATGGGAACTCATCTGTTCCACTCGGGTATGTGGGCGGAAATGGGCACAAAGTGAGGGCGACTGGGAACTCTTTGGGAAGGGGATCTGGCAGGGAGAACAGCAGGTCCGACGCTCTGAGGATGATGGTCTAAGAGCATTGGAAGAGCAACAAAAAAACGACCACAGAGTCACAGGGAGGGGACAAGGACACCTGGGAAGACATTGCCATTCTCTTTTGTTGCTGTCACTGAACTGGTTGATCAGTTCAGGAGTCTAAGACTGGTACTGCCTGGGCCCTGCAGGGCTGGAGGTAGTTGCCACCTCAGCAGTCCTGGGCACCATCAGAATTGCACCCCACGATGCTCATGGGGCCATGTGATGCCAGGAATTAAACCTAACCAGACTTTTTTTTTTCTGAATTCTCAGAACTTTATTCAACTCCATTGCTAATTCATGTTTCAGAATATTATTGATACAGTATGAAATAATTGTTTGTAGCAATAATGGATAATTATCAGGCATCCAGTTATAAAAAACATAATAGTGGGGCTGGAGCGATAGCACAGCGGGTAGGGCGTTTGCCTTGCAAGCAGCCAACATGACCGACCCGGGTTTGATTCCCAGCATCCCATATGGTCCCCCGAGCACCACCAGGAGTAATTCCTGAGTGGAGAGCCAGGAGTAACCCCTGAGCATTGCCAGGTGTGACCCAAAAAGCAAACAAACAAACAAACAAAACAAAAAACATAATAGTGATATCATTTCTCAGTGTTATTAAAAATAAAATTCCCTTACCTCACAGTTTTCAAAGTCTTATTAGCCATCAATTTTACTTTTTCAAGAGAAGCACTAAAGCACAAATTCACCTAGTGACAAATTGTGAATTTCTCGAAAGACAAGACACTTTCTTTGTATTGTTTTAAACCCAATATTTATCCAAGGATGGCAAAAAATTATTTTTAATATGAAAAATGTTATTAAAGTATGTCTTGGTCCTAGAATATTATAGAGAACTGAGTGGTTTCAAGTATTACTCAGTTTTGTTTCAAAGTAGGTACATTATGGAACTGAACTAAGTTTATTACAGAAATTAGAAATCACACCATAGTAGAATCATGTTTCTAACTTCACCAGACTTGTTTTTTAAGTCCTTCTCTAGAGACTAAACTCTGGGCTAAAGGCTCGGATAAATACCCAAAGATAATGGAAGCAAAGGACATGAGAACTGGTAGGAAACAAGCCACTGGAGGGCACTAGGAGGTAGGACAGGGAGGGTGCGACATCTGTGGTGAAGGGAAACATTCAATTGAAATGAGTCAGAAAGAGAGGGACAGACATAGAAGGACTCCACTCATTTGTGGAGTATAAAACAACATATCATGAGGCTGACACCTAAGGGTAG